CAGGTGCGTTGTCGCCGTGCAAGGGACGGTTGAGCCGACCCTACTCCCTGGTCTGCACGAAGACCGGTGCCTTAACCTTCCCGCACAACAGGATGGTTCGCGTGATGTTGAAGACATTACGCGAATGCCACATGCCAATCGCCGTCAAATACTCTTCCCCATTGACCACAGGCACTGGTAGGGGAAAAGGGAGCTACAAGATGGATTCGGTGATCCCCCCATGATTACACGCAGGAGATAAAGAAGAGGAACTCTGCACCAAGCTCATTCTTGTAGATGTAACAATCGTCAACACTTCCGCACGTCGAAGCATCGACAAGTCGATCCAAACGTCAATCGCCATGCGGGAATTTTCGACCCGTCTAGATCTACCCTCCTTACAGCTTTTTCAACGTGTGGTCTTGGCAAAGGCACAAATCGACTTATTATAGCCATCGCCAACCACATGGCACATAAAGCCTTTAGCAAGGGTAATTTCGACGACGAAACAGTCTTGCTTCGCCTAAAGGCTTTTCATACCAATAGGATTCGGAGGCGGTCTACCTTCGAGCTGGCTCGTTTTCTATCCGTACGCACTCGTGATGTATTCAAACGTCATGGACTACTGATTGATCAGTTTCCACCACGGCCAATAGGTCGAGATCTCAGTAGTAATGCAGATAGATACGACCAGGATGGCAATGAGGGGAATTCGTTTGGCAGCGATGAAGGAGGAGAAGAGGGAACGGGAGGAGGACAACACAGAGACCGAAACAGTAGTCGAGGAGGGAATGATGGCGTGGAAGAGAGCAAGAGCCTCGAGCCAAATGACCTTCCCCACCACAAACCGCGCAGGGCCAGAGAAGAAATGTCGAAAAGTGGCAGTGAAAACGATACTTCAGTGAGAACGATGGAGTTGGAAGGAAGAGGGATGACGGTGAAAGCACTCCAAAACGAACTAGGAGTGCAAGGTAGCAGCCTTCATAGACATGTGCAGTTTTCTTCTGTTGCTACCGTTTCTGTCTTTGATCCGGAGAATAGCAAAGCCTCCACCATGCCGCCCCCTCACGGGGTTCCAGTCAAAAACACTTAAAAACGTGTTCTGTGTTTTCAACCCAATCTCCCACACTACTGATAGATTTGCTAAACCGCCCATGGGACACCCATGGGTCACCCACGAGCATGTCCGTGGGCGGCCCATGGGCGGCCCATGAAGTACTTCAACCCAGAACTTCGCCACCGGCATATCAACCTAGAACTTCACCACCAGCGCCAACCCAGGACGTATCGTGTGGGCTTGGGGTTAAGGCTAGGGTTAACATCAGGGTTATTTGCCGCTATACTGCCCGTTCCAACGCAGATAATCTATTGGTTAGGAGTACACTGGTTAGGGCTCTCATTGGTCGCCCATGGGCTTCCCATGGGTTGCTTGTGGGCAGCCCATATGGGCTGCCCATGGTCATGGGCATGCCCATGAGTGACCCATGGGAGTCCCATGGGTCGTTTGGGAAAACTGTAGAAAGTGTGGGAGACCCTTTCAATCGCACTGAGGCTGACGTCTGATCATTGGTCAGCCGGTTAGCGCGGTCGATGAAAAAACAGCAATACGTATTTGCTCTACCGGTGGAGTAACCTCTTATTCGCTCCACCAACCAGATCTCCACCCACAGAGATCCAATCAACCTCAAACCAATTACATCGTGTATGTATGGACTACAGTTATCTGTAATGCTACTTAGAAGCTAAATCCGGCCGGTGGCTGCAGAGATATGCCGAACAGGGGGGTTCCGCAGCATTCCAGGAAGCGGCAATCGTGTCGAACCTCCGTCTACACAGATCAAATTGGCCCCAAACATTTTGCGTCGTGTCCGCATGGTCCATGCCGTTCTTCCAAGCTATGGATACGCCCATCCGATATGTTCCCGCAGAGATATGGGCAACAGAGGGGGTTCCGCACCATCTAGGGGTCGGGTGTACTCATAGTCGTGCATGCCGCAGTCGTTAGACCATTGACCTCGCATCCCTACAAAGCCGGGACGGAGCACGCCGGGTTCTCACCGGGCCAGGCTCTCACATCACCAAGCGGGAAGCCCCGTGAGGTATTCGGCGAGTCTCATGAAGGGTGCGCTGCATCCTGCTAAGGGTGTTCGGCACCTTATACTTACTTCCTTTCAACGCATGACAGCTGCGAATGACTTAAATTTATATTCTGGTGCTTTCACTTCCGCAGTTGTAAGCACTTTGTAACTGACTCGAGAGTGTTTGACCAAACACAACGTGGTGTCCCCCTTTGCGCGAAATGAGGGTTCTCGACCCCGCACAACATTATCTACTCGACCACCATTTATGGTTACCGCAAAAAAATAAACAAAGGCAAAAAAAGAACGGTAACCTGGTTGTCGAGCTCACGACGTGATCGGCTTGTTTTACAACATCGATCGTTGCCAAGCGACGAGAACCCAACCCCAATGGCAAACACCCGGGGGGGGGGGGGCGTACTCTTATGTTTTGCATGCCTCAGCGGTTAGACCATTGATCACGCGTCCTCGAGAGGACGGAGCATTGTTCCCACAGGACCGATCACCGATGGCCAATCGTTCCTTCCTACTCTGCTAAAGGTGGCTCAAAAATGTCTTCCCTAGTCTATCTATCCTAACTATTTCCTTCCCCGCCTTTTCAAACCACTTCCTATTCCCCAGTACAGCTACCGTCTTCTCCTTTCTATGCCATGCCTCAAACATCTCCCTGTACCTCCCTTGTATTTTTCCCAGCTCAGTCATGTACACTTCCCTCTTCTCTTTGTACAACTGACATTCCGCGACTACATGAACACGGTCTTCGCACTCGAAGCCGCAATTACGTTCGAACTTGTCGTCTTCGTCGTCTACCGTCCTATGTCTTCGTCGACGTTCTCGAAGGTGGTCCTGAATTTGACCTTAAGCTTTGTCCCTGCATCCATTGGTCCACGTAGGTAATATTTGAACCCTAAATTTATTCCTTCTTTCAACATTCCGTACACTTCTAGACCCACCTTATCCTAGGTTATTTCCTTACATTCTGTTTTTCTCTCTCGACACAAGCAACAGACGTCTTCTCCTTGAACTCCTGTAGACCCTCCGTTTCCAGCGTTTCATCTTCGTCGATGGCGAACCCCTTCCATACGTCCCCTACAACCTTGACCCATTCCGTAGGTTGTCTACCCCTCTTTTTTCTTGCCCACTTCGCCTCCCATACTGTTCTCGGCAACCTCTCCTCTCCCATCCCGCAAATGCGATACTGCCATGTCAGCTTCCTTGGTCTCGTCCCGACCGTAGGGATTGGATCCCCAGTTCTGCCCTGACGGCTGCACCACTTGTGCGCTTGGACAATCCTAGGATGATTTTCGCTGCTTTCATCTGCGCCGCCTCGAGTTCTTTCAATACCTTCTTATTTCCGTCCCAGACTTATCCGGCGTACTCAAGCGGCGGTACGCTTACACTATTCAAAACCGCCAATTTGATGCGTGTATCGAGGTG